TCGGGCGCTCTCTGAGGAGGGGGCATTTGCTCACAGCTGGAACAGGGTGATGTAAAAACACCGCTATTATGTTTTCCGTTGACTGCTTCTCTTAGTTTCAACATTATTAGCAAACCAACTCATGGGCAAATAAATAAATCGCTCTTGTAAAAATCGATTGGTGAAAGGCTCAGCCTATAGTCATATTTGCCCAACCTTATCAGAGATGCAGCTTACTGCTGAAGAAAGGAGTCAACTGGATGTCTGTATTTATACATTTTGATAAATTACAACTTCATCCCAAACAGACAGATTCAAACTAAGTTAAACAGTCTTAAACAATTTCAACAGAAAATGACAATAAATCGTCTCAAGGACCAAATCTGTATCTGGAGCAGTGGTAACTAGGGATGGGTACCAGTATCCAGTGTTCTGACATAAACGGTAGTAACCAGACCGAAAAGCAGCGCACATTTCTGTGCTTTTTTGTTCTTGAGATGTCACACACTTTGGATTCTAGCCAATCATTTTACCTTTCCAAGGATAGTAGGCGGGTCCAGGTACGTACGTTCTTTTAGAGCAGATGATGATGCAGCAGCAGCCGTTCTTCTCTGCGTGAGTAGCTTAATGTTGTTCGTGTGTAATTTGCGTTGAGTAAGCTAACCACGTTATTACATTAATGCATGTAAGGTGAACTAGCAAACATCATCATAGCTACATGCAGCTGTCTTCTTGTTTGATAGAGTGATACCATATATGCCCCATAGCTGCAGAAAAGGCTAACATTGTTATCTTTTACAAAAAAACAGCTGAACATGAGGGTCATGTGTATCGGGACATACTGTCAGCTCAGATTCAGTTAAATGAATCGTACAGAACGATGATAACCTTCAGCATACTCCGCAATGAGCCACTCATGTGAACTTGGCCTGATGAGAAAATGGATTTTAATGCCTGTAAAGAAAATATCCAAGATAAATAAACCTCTGAAATGAAAGGATTGTGTAACAAACTGATTGTAAATCTTAAAAGTTTCACGTAACATTTCAGCTGAATCACTTATATTTCAGTTAAGTCTGCATCTAATTGGTATTTCAGCTCCTGCATTTCAAATGTGTTGTGGCTGTGGGTGTACAAAGACGTGTTTGTCCAAATACTTCTGAGTCTAACTGCATTTAAAACAGACACAGTGCACGTGTGCATATTACATTAACACTGAAGGTGATTGCTTTTGGTTCTCGTAGAGCTGCTCCTCCAAAAGGTTTCTCGTCATCCTCTTCATCTGAAACATGAGGCACTGCCACCGGCAGCTCTTCTGTACTGTCTGCAATCATCTTGCATTTCTGCAAACACACACACACATATAAAGAGTAAGCTGTGTAACTACGACGCATCGCTCTTGTTTTTCCACACTGCAGATCTCCATGACCGTTACAAAACACTGCAGA